CATTTCAGCGATTTGTCCATCCTCCTCACTTACCATGCTTCATAGAATCTTCTTTGCCTTCAAAATAAAATCTACATCTCTTTCTTTGTTGGTTCTCCTCTTCCCTCACTCATATTTGAACAAAAACTCTAAACATGCATTGTTATTTTCTAGCCCCTGGTTTGTATGTATCACTATACTCAAGGCTGAAAAGCCAGGTCCGTATTTCACTCAGATGGCAACTATCTCTCATTATTCAAACCTTCATATAGATCCCCTCTGCTCCTGAGGAAAGTTATCTATCTAATAATGAAGTTCAGTCTCTCAAATGGCTGAACCACCAAGATGTTTTGAGTTCACTATTCTGTCAATATTTATCTCCATAAGGAAATTTTCTGTTCATTTTCTGTCTTCCTTACTAGCCAGTTGATTCCTTGAAGATGTGCGATTTGCTCATCTTGGGATAATTAGTAACAAACACCATACCACCCATGTAGTATATATTTGATATAGGTTGAATAAACAACAGCAATGAATATTCATCAAGGGAAATGTTCCCCTAACCACTTTAACCTTAAGCTCTCTTTCTTACCTGTTCATACACAGGGAAGACAAATAGTTAGTTCCATACATTATTGCCATTATTCTCTTTGGCACACGGAGGTAGCTTGCAAGCCAGGAAGAATGCAAACTTTAAGGTAAGACAATGTCTGTTTTTTTTAAGCAGAAAAACTTACTCATAGAGGTTAAGAAACTTACTTGGAGTCACTCAGCTATAGGGTGGTTTCTTAACTTCTATGAGTAAGTTTTTCTCATTTATAGAAAAACTTACAATTTCTGTTTTTTATCGGTCATGGAGCTTGAACTCAGGGCCTAGGTGCTATCCCTGAGCTCTTTAGTTCAAGGTGAGCACTCTACCACTTTGAGCTACAGCGCCACTGCCAACTTAACAATTTCTTATTAGGTTATTGTAAAATTTAGCAAAGTAAAAACATTTGTACATTTTTAAGGCATCAAATAAAATTATTATTGTTGTTTGTACAGGGTTGAGATTGGCATAGATCAATGTTTCTTTGTCTGCCACATCACTACAAGCACATTTAATAGGAATGTCTTAAAAACTCATCATCACAATTTCACATTAGCTTATTGAAGGTTCTCAGAAGTCCTGCTATAAGAGACTGGTGTGCTCATATTTAATAGAAAACAGCCAGATATGTACATATATACATAGGAACAAATCATATACAATTATAAATTTCATAAATTCTGAAAGAAAACAAAAATAAATAAATAAATAAATTCTGAAAGAACAAGATAGTAAGATAAAACTGGTTACAGGTACCAGGCAGGGGTGGGGAAACTTTTCTTTACCAAGGATCTTTTGGATATTTATAACACCCTTCACAAGCCATACAAAGTCATCAAGACAGGCAGACAGGCTGTAGGCAACCAACTAAGAGCATACATATCTACATCATCATGTACCAAATGATTTCCCAGATAGACATGCTCCAACCCTGGATAAGGGTTAAAAAATTGTTCTCATTAGGCATATATGATTCTCATTGGGTGAACTGTGCTGGAATCATGGGATCAAATAAAGACTCATACTTTCTCCTTTATTTACAGGCACACTTCCTTTAAAGTCATCATTGTTCTTTTCACTTGGTATCAAAAGTTCACTAGCTCTTTCCCAGCATCACCTCCTGTGACTTTCAAAGCTGCCATTAATTTCCCATTAGTAAACTTTAATTAAGATAAATATGTATCTCTGCTTTTAGCAGCTGCATTTGTGGTACATGTATCAATACATGCAAATCTTGTCCACACTATTTCAAATGGCTTATTTCTAAACAAGTAAACACTCTGATGTTATTTCAAAAGATTTTTTATGTACAGAAAGCTTTTAGAATCCCTAAAATAACTAGCATTTCATGGAAATACAGCAAGCAGTTACTAACCTAACTAAAATCTATTTTATTGATCCCAGAAAGCAGCATGTTACAACATGAATAATGACCTCTGAGTCTTAGACCACTCAGTACTCTGTGTCTCTGCCATATTTCTGTACAATGCATTGGAAAGTAGAGCTACAAGAGGTAAAGGGTGCTTCTAATTTAAGAAATCACAGTGGTCTAAGATACTGCACTATGTCTAATACAGTAATCCAAGATGAGTCACTTCACAGCTTATTATCAAAAACACATCCACCACCAAGGTTCATTCAAATGTGTAACACTCAGAAAATAGAACCTATCAGGGTGCATCTAAGTGTTGATTCTCATAACATTTCTTATTTCTTTACAAATTTCTGCATCAGGTTAAAATTTTAAAACCTACAACATGCTTTATCAAAAGAGAAAATGAGACTGACTAGTCTCAGGTCTGGATTCTACCAGGTTATACTGGGAGTATCCAAATATCTTGACCAGAATCCCACAGATTCAATAACAATTCAAATTTCCATATTAAATACATCATTTTGAGAATGTTCATAAACATCTGATAGTCATCCCAGTAATAAGCATTTCTACCCAGATGTTTCTGTGTTATTAGAATAAACTTCAAAGCCTCTAAAGAATACTCTGTAAAAATACTTAACATGAAAGGAACCATGTGTTTCCTCAAGGGTTGGGTCAGTTAATGCATTTATCTGACAGCCTGTGGTTTTCATTCCACATTCAATCTCACCTTCCGTTCCTTCCCCCCCCCCCCACCATAGCTTTTCTGTAAGGCTCACTGATCTTGTGGCTGTGGGTTCATGGAGATGCACCCATATCTCACGCTGTACACATTATTTCTGATAACATTAGGCATCATTTTCCAATCAGGAAAATGCTTGGTTTAGAAGGTCTAGTAAACACCATTATAATTAAAATCACTTCTTCAGTTCACTGAATGTGATATCAGAATTTTTGAGAGAGTATCAATCTTTGGGAAATATGTATTTTTTTTTAAATTTAGAAGTATGTGCATTATTGACATAAACCTAGAAACATTAAAGGGGATTAAACTAACTGATTTCCAAATTGTGAGTAAAGTTTGCAAAGGTTAAAAAAATAGCATTGTATCTTTCACTTATCCTATTAGCAGTTTAAAAATGGCAATCCTAAGCATCCTTGCCACTGCATAATTTCAGGGATTAAGCCAAGCATTCCAATTCCTCATCATAATTGAAGAAGAGCATGAAGCTGTAAGACTTCCCAATAGTCATCATGGGAAATAGAGCTACCACAGTTAACCTACATTTCAAAATGTCACAGGGAAGTTTCCAACATCAATTTGTTTGACTGCATGTGATGGATCACTTTCTCAGAAACTATCTCTCTGCTTTAAAAAAAGGCAATAGGATGATGTTTATCTAGCTTTGCAAACTCTCATCCCAAGAAAGGTGATGAAATTACCACACTTGCTCATTTTGAATACGGAACACTATTTTTTTATCCAAAGGAACTTTGCATTTCTAGTTCACAAATTTTCTGAGTTGTTTCCAAGTAAGCTAGTCAAAGATTTCTAATCCCCTTTATCATAAAAAATGTGAAATGGTGAAAAGAACACTGGTGTGGCAGTACACATTCCCAAATCCATGCACTTTCTATGAATTTTCCATATATTAGATAAGAAGATTCAATATTTACTAAATCATTTTTTAAAAATAAATATCTCAGCCAGGCACCGGTGGCTCATGCCTGTAATCCTAGCTACCCAGGAGGCTGAGATCTGAGGATCATGGTTCAAAGCCAACTCAGGCAGGAAAGTCCATGAGACTCTTATCTTCAATAAACCACTAGAAAACTGGAAGGGGCACTGTGGCTCAAGTGGTAGAGCACTCACCTTGAGCTGAAGAGTACAGGGACAGCGCCCAAGCCCAAGGTTCAAGCCCCACAACAGAAAGAAAGAAAGAAAGAAAGAAAGAACGAACGAAAGGAAGGAAGGAAGGAAGGAAGGAAGGAAGGAAGGAAGGAAGGAAGGAAGGAAGGAAGGAAGGAAAGATCTCATACATCAGTATCTATATACTTCCATGCATATAATTTTTGTGATATTAAACAGTGCTTCCCAAAGCATCTAAACCATATAAAAGTCAAAGGAGTATATTTTCTGAGCACACTGTTTTATTACATTTCTAAGTCCATGTAGTGATTGTCATTTGTAAGTGCAAGTGCTATCCGTATAAAAAGACTTGGTAAACCAAATGACAAGTGGCAAAATAGCCAATGAAAATGTCAAGTACCATTCAAGTTTACCCAATGTGCCACTCCTCCAGGGGTGCTCCATTATATTAGCAAGTAGATTTGGGGATACTGCAAGATAATTAGAAGGTGCACTATCCAAGTAAGTAAGTCTGGGGCCCTTAAAGTGTGCTCACTCTTGCCTGAAGACACAAGCACCACATATTTGTACATATGAATGTATATACCCATATATGAATATGTAAAGACATATATATTCATATATTCATATGTTGCAAATCTAAGTCAACAGTTAACTTTGACTATAGTACCTCACTACCAGTGGTTCTTAATTTGTAGGTACTTTTGAACCATGATAATTTCCATCAAACTAGAATTAGTCATTTTTCCCCACAGAGAAAAAAAGTAACAAAATTGCAACACTACACCTTAAATTCTACATAATAAGAAAGAATTTTTAGAAAGTATGGCAGGGATCTTCTCCTACTCACAGAAACAGTATAACTAAAAACTGAGAAGGGAGGTTGTAGCATATAAAAAGAAAAGGCCAGCAAGGCAGTGAGACGGCAAGAAGGAAAGATGACCAGATCTACTTTCCCTGGCCATTCTCATTACCCTCTCACCTGAAGCAGAGATTAATTTTTAAAAAAAAATTAAAAAGCAAGCTCCAATTTAAAACACACACACACACACACACACACACACACACACACAGCTGTGACTAGGGTTACGACCACAGTAACCCTGAACGATTTTCGTGCAAAAGCAAAGCAGTGGGGATGTAGTAGCAGTAGCAATTCTCACTCGCCCCCACCCCTGATACGATACCTCCAGATTTGCCCGAGCTGCAAGATGTGGATGAGTGACTGCAGGAGCCAGATGCAGAAGGCGCAGGAAGCAGACCTGTGTTTGCCGCCCGCCCGGGTGGCCCCGCTGCTGTTACTACCGCTGTTGGCAGCGGCGATGTTGCTCTTGCTGGCGTTGGATGCTTGCCTTTGCGGCGTGGAAGGACGAGCCTCGCCTTCCCCGGCTGCAGACCCTCCGCTGACCACGGTCTTGCAATCCGCTCCTGGCTGAGCGCAGCCCGAGGCTGCGGACGTGGCGCTGTCCTCGGTGCTGAAATCGTGCACAAACCAGCGGAAGCTGAACACTTGCACCGACAGCGAGCCGAGCACCACGAAGAAGAGCGTGAGTCCGAACCACCAGCGCTGACCGCGTAGGTAGTAGTCCACGGCGAGCCAGATGTCCGTGCCCACGTCCGCGAAGTACACCGCCACGGCGGCCAGGATCCAGAGGCAGTCCCACAGCGAGTAGCGCCGCTGCTCCCTGCCCAGGCGCAGGCACAGCGCCGCCGAGCCCGGCCCGCCGCCACCGCCGCTGCCGCCGCCCGGGCCGCCGGCGCCGCCGCCCGAGCCGCCCGAGCCCCCGGAGCCGCCGCTCCCCGCGCAGCAGCAGCAGCAGCGTGAGCAGCCGCTGCCGTCCGGGCAGCAGCTGCCCCCGGCAGCCTCCTCGTCCTCGGCTCCAGACCCCGACGGCAAGCCTGGAGCCAATCCCTGCACAGAGCCCGAGTGGTCCGAGTTCTGCAGCGGGGTGAACGCCACGTCGCTGCTCTTCTTCATTTTCAACCTCCCGTCTGATTTAGCGGCCATGATGCCTCCAAACCGGAGGAGAGCCCTCCTTTATCTGACACCTTTCCCCGCTGTCTCCTCCTCCCGCCACCGCCTCGCCTCGCCCCGGCTTTCCCTCCCTTGGCGCGGCGCGGCGCGGCGCTGATCTCCCCTGCTCCTGCTCCTGCGCCGGCTCGCCCGCCGCCCGCCGCCCGCCGCCGCCCGCCGGGCTGGGCGCTGGGCGCTGGGCCGGGCTAGCGGCGCGCCTGGGGCCGGCTGGAGCGCCGCCTGGCTGCCTGCGCCGAGCCAAGCCGCTCGCGGCGCCCCGCGCGCACCCCGGCCCGCCGCTCCTCGCAGCCGTCCTGGCCTCGCGGCTGCCGCCCGAGCCGCAGCCGCCGCCAACAGCAGGAGCAGCAGCGGCCGCCGCGGCGCTCCTCGGACCTGCACATTCCTCTCCTCCCCTCGCGCGCGCTCCCTCCTCCCGCTTCCTCGCCTCCACCAGCTGACTCCGAGGGAGAGGATGACCTCATCCCTTCCCTTCCAGCTGCCGCCGCTCCCACCCCGGCTCGGGAGGGGCGAGGAGGAGGAGGAGGACCCGAAGAAAGGAGGGGCCGGGACGGATGAGAACGCGAGTGGATCTAGCTGGTCCCGGGCGCCCGAGCAGCGGCCGAGGGACTGGAGGGAGAAGATAGAAGGGCCCCGATCGCGGGGTTTTGGAGATCGCTGTGTGCATTGACAGATACTGGGGAAGGGGAATGAGCGTGCCGAGTGCGGGGGTCCTTGCGTCCAGCCACCGTGGAGGACCCGGAGATGTGGGCACGAGCACGCGCGGGCGTGGCAGCGGCCAAGGCCTGGGAGGCGCGGGTCTCTTTGTATCGAGTTCCGGGCCGCGCTACTTGCACCGGGTGTGAGGTGCGGCTAGGTGTGTCGCTGGCGCCCGCGAGGGTGGAAAGAACGCGGCTAACTCCGGAAGCTAGATTCCCAAATAGTGGTCGTGGTAGTGGGCGTGCCGGGCTTTGGTGGTCATGGGAAGGAAAGGACCTTGGGGAGCTTGGGGTCCAGAGATGCTGGGTACCCTGATCGCGTGTCCCTGGGGGAAAGTGTGGCTAGCCCAGATGCTCCCGCAGGCAGAGGCATCCTGGCCCCAGAGGTGGAGAAGCCCTGGAGCTCTGCTCAGCTCAGACCCATGGCACTCCGTTTGTGACCTCCTGCGCGCTGTGGGCACCAAGAAGCGGCCAAGCCTGGAGGAAAACCAGCCAGGCGCGCGGAGTGGCTGAGCCGATCTCCCCCCTCCTCCCCCCCCAACACCGCCCCTGCAGGTAGGAAGCGCAGCACCCCTGGTGGCTGCTCGCGGCACAGTGGAGCAGAGGGGCGCGGCTGGCAGCCGCGGGAAACCAAGTACCAGCTCCACCCCCGGCCCGCAGGCGAGAGTGGCGGAGCTTCCAGTCGGCGCCACCTTCTTTACTCTGAAACTAGAAATGCTTTCCCTTAAAGCTGTAAGGATGCAGATTAGCTGTGCGGTCTGACAACTCCAGAAATGACTGGAATAAATTTAATCTGTGATCTCAAAGCTTTATCAAATTAAATAAAAGAATAGTATACTGCAAGTTGCAGTTTTAAGAGATTGTTGTTTTTTATTTTAAATGCTGAGTCTGGGGCTTTGAACTTAGGGCATGGATTGCTGTCCTTCAGTTTTTTCTCCCAAGGATAGCACTCTGCCACTTGAGCCACAGCTTCACTTCTGGTTTTTGAGTGGTTAGTTGGAGGTAAAAGTCTCCTGCCCAGGCTGGCTTCGAATCAAGATCCTCAGATCTCAGCCTTCTGATGAGCTGGGATTATGGGTGTCAGCCACCAGCACTGGGCTGAAAGATTCTTAAAACTCCAGTTAAACATAAGAGTTTTCTATTTTTTTCTTTAAGAAAACTTGAGTTTCTGTAATCCTTAAATTACACTGACTCACAGATTTTAAAACCAGAGGGATGGAGTCTTCACAGATCTAGAGAGAAACCATAGTAAGTGCCAGAAAAATTGGGACCTGCATAGGCCGCTGTTCTTCACTAGTAGAATTATGTAGAAGTAAAAAAAGACCAAGGAACACTCATCAAGTTGTGGGTTTTTGTGTTGTTGGTTTTTGTTTTTTTTTGTCTTTGTTTTTGGTTTTTGTTTTGGTGCCTGTTCTGGGGCTTGTACTCAGGGTCTGGGTGCTGTTCTTGAGCTTTTGTGCTCAAGTTAAGAGCTCTACCATTTGAGCCACAGCTCCACTTCCAGCTTTCTGGTTAATTGGAAATAAGAGGCTCACTGACTTTCCTACCCAGGCTAGGTTTGAACTGAGATATGCAGATCTCAGCCTACTGAATAGGTAGGATTATGGGTGTGAGCCACAGGCACCTGGCTACATCAGTTGTTCACACCAATCTGCACAAGTATAGTTTTCCTCACCCTGTGGATACATTGTCTTTCATTCTCGAAGACTGATGTGATGTTCATGTTCCTAAGCTAATGGGTCTTTGCCTGGCAAGAGGGTGTTGAAATACAGAGGCTATAAACAATTACATGTGCTAATGCAATCTTTCTAGCAAAAGTTAGAGCCAAGGACGAGGAGCCATTCAAAAGCACCAAACCACTTGAAATACCAGGCCAAAGGGTATACTTTTAAATCCAGCTTTAAAATTGGGCCCTTTTAGAGTAGGAAATTCCCTTTTAGAAAACACCTTAGTTCTATTTTTTTTTTTTAATACCCTAGTTTCCTTTTTGAAAACTCCCTAGAGTCCAGTCTAAGATCCCATCTCCAGGGCTCTACTGCTGGTTGTGCTTAGTGCCAAAACATCAGGGAGAATAATCTCTTAGGTAACTAGGTCCTCAGAGATAAGTATATTCTAGGCCAAATGAAATGGTGTGGAAAAGGCCAGGGTATTTGAAATGCTGAAGATCTGCAGCACACTGAAGCTTCTCTTAGAACCAGAACATTCCTCTTCGGGTTGTGTCCTCTGCACCCAACATGGGGTACCTGCGCGGACTATTTGCTCAATATTAGTGAGTGAATGAACAAGTTTGCAGCAAGAACATTCCAGAAGAGGAAGAATGCTACATTCTGTGCTAACAAATGTTCCCATGGAAACATAGGAATTATTAGACTTTTTCCTGTTAAATTCTGAAAAAAAGTAACTGCTGATGGTTTTTTTTTGTCTGCTCCATCTCTGAAAGTAATGATTCCTGATAGTGAAAGCAGCATACATGCAGGAAGTCACAGGACACACTTTCACATCCATGCTCTGCTAATTACTGGCCCTTGATTCTGGAAAATTACTTAATACTCAGGATTAATATGAGGATTACATGAGATCATGTATTTAATGGGCTTTGTATACAGTACTGTTCTCAAGAACCTCTAATCCCATAAATCTACTAATCACATGTCAGAATGTAGTTGTTACTATTACCTGTTCTGTCATAACCACTGCACCTGCCAAGACTGATGGACATAATGTATAAGAACTTGAAGTCTGGACACAGTCTTGGGCATGCTATTTAATCTCTTTACCCCTTGGGTTCACTGTTTGTAATATAGAAATGCTAATAGTCTCTAGTCCTCAGTACTGCTGCCAGGAATAAGTAAAAGGCTGCACAGAAATAGTCAACTCCATGCCCAGCACACTCAAAACACATTCTTCTGTTTTCCTGTGATATTCTTACTGTTTCAGCCACTTCGTGCTTTCTGGATTAAACTTCTATGTTTACCTAGCCAACTTCTAACATTCATGACCCTAAAACAACCTTTGGACAACTTGTCTCAGAAGCAACAGCTGTTCATTACAGATCCTTGATCTATCAGAAATGTGATCTCAGAGACATTATTATCTTCATTTCCTACACCCTCTGATAATTCTGCAACTTCATATTCTCAGTTTTTAAGCATCTTACTGTCTGACTAGCTGATTATATCCTGGATGGTTGGCTCAAGTGGCTTCTGCAAGTTCCTCAGGATCTGGGATTTACTGTATTTGCATTTTTGCTTTCTTTAACCCCTTCATGGTCTCATCTCTTCTTTCTTATACAATGTGAACCCCATGCTTGAACATTTTGGCATGCTCTGAATACATTTTTATCTCTGAAGTCCCACTTCGTTGACAAACCCTGGCTAAAGCCTGCTCTCAACTCACTTAGGGCCTGTGCCTGTATAGCTAAGTATGGTTGAAGAAAGATCAAGCTGTCTGTAGTTCTTTTAGATACTTGATCTTTAGCTTAAAGTGTCCTTGTGGTCCAGGCTGCTCAGCAATCCCACCCCAGTTTCCTAAGTATATTTTTACTCTCATTTGCATTACTTCTTTTCTTATTTTATCTTCTCAAACTTTATCTTACCCTTAGCTGATGAGTCCTTCCTATTTCACTGAGAAAAATGAAGCAATTAGAAACAAACTTACATAACCTTCCAATATCTTCTCTGATTATCTGTGGGTATTTGTATATCTGTTTGTCCTCTTGCCTCTCTACATGGTCAATGTTTCCAGCTCTTCTCCCATTCCCTTTTTCTGCTTAGAAAAACAATTCCACACTTGTTTCTACAATCACCAGTTTTTCCTATCAAGTTGATTTTCCTTGTGAGTCAAAAAAATGTGCTCTTCTATATCCAAAAGCAAAGTAAAACAATAAAAATGAATGGCTAAAACTTCTTTTATTTTTAATTCCCTTTCTAGCTACCGCTGTAGTTTTCTGAAATCTTTTAGCAAAGTTCCTCTAGTAAGCTAAACACAGATCCTTCAGTTCCTATTCTCTAGTCTCACTGAAACATGCTGAAATAAATGGAGAAGACTTACCAAGGGCTTGGTGGCCGAGGTCATTGCCATACTCTTAGTCCTTATCTTCCTTGAAGTCCTCAGTGTAACTAACATATCAGTCTACTCTCTTCTCAATAAAATCTTCTGTTCCCTTCACATTTCAAAGTCTGCTCCTTTGCTCATTTTTCCTCCTGTCCCCCACCTTAAAATAGGCTGTCCACATTCCTTTCTCTGTATATTCTTTTTTTTATTTTATTTTATTTTATTTTATTTGAGAACATACTGTACAGAGGGGTTACAATTACATGGGCAGGATAATGCATACATTTCTTACCAAGCATTGCAGCCTCCTCCTTTGTTTACCCTTCACCTCCCTTCCCAGCCTCCCCACCTCCTCCCCACCAATCATACCCCCCCCCCCACACCGACAT